AAATGAACTCTCTGAATGGTGATATTCAATATAAGACCACCTCCTCACATGCTTACGAGGCTAAGTGGTCCCTCTGCTCTTGCTCTTGGTAGCCCTGGTCTCAGTCCTTTTCTTACAAATTTTCTAATCCAATTCATTTCCTCTCTCTCCAGTCAATCAAACTAAAGATGGTCATGCAGGTGGTGCCTTACATGGAAATCTCCTTATACCAGGGACCCTTGGATAGGCCTCCTGGGGAGGGTCCTGACTGCCACCCCTCAGCAACGCCCCTTCTCAGTATGAAGCAGCCAGAGTGGTTGTTGCCCCTTTCCGTAATGGCAGTTAGGATTACCTCTTCAGAGAGGGCAATGATAGGGACTCCAGGTGGCCCCTAGGATGGTATGAAGAAACATACATGATGTAACCTTCAAGGAGCCCTGAGGGCCTGGGAGAAGAGAGAAACACATACAACATAATCTTCATATGTTGCATCTGTCAAAGGTCCTGCCCACTACAGACCTGTTTGAGAACATCTCTGACTTCCCTGTGTAACATGGGCTTCATTGGATCCTGGTGAAATCAGTCACATTCAGGCTCTGCTGACTCCCCAGTTGGTTCTTGTAGAATACGTAATTGGCATACACTGTAACCAATCAGGTGAACTTCCACATTTAGAAATTCATAAAAATCTGAACCAGGCAGTCTTGAGAAGCAGCTCAGGGCAAACAACTCTTTGCAGGGCAGTAGCCCTTTCCAGGGTGGGAGCCCCTCCTGGCTACTGGAGACCTTTGTCTGCTTTTTTCAACAAACTTCCTTCACGTGGCTAACTCTTCCTTGTCTGTGTGCCTTATTCTTCATGGCTGCGAGACCAAGAACCCAGCAAAGAGAAACACAGAAAACTGCAAACTTTGATGAACCCAGCAGAGAGAAGAAGCTGTGATCCAAAAGGAAATGAGAGGCTACAACAGAGCTGCAATGCACAGAGCTCAGCCTGAGGAACTGCAACACAAAGAGCTGTAATGTCAGACAAAAAGAATCTGCCATATTTCTTGGGGATGAGACACAGGCCCAAACAATTGAAGCCACACACACCTTCTGCCACTACTGCAACACTAACACCGGAACTCCTGCAACATTTTGATGAGCAGAATTTCTAAATTTTTATTTCTAAATTTTTACTTTTTTCTTTAATAGTTTGTGATTTCTATGTCCCTTAAATCTGTGCTTTGACAATAACAAATGCTAATGAGGATGCAGAGCCACAGAAGCGCTCATTAATTGCCAGTGGGAATGCACAATGTTTCAGCCATTTTGATACAGTATAGCAGTTTATTAGAAAACTGAGCATCTCCTATTATATGATCTAGTAATTTTGTTCCTTGGTGTTTATCAAAAAGGAGTTGAAAATTTAGGTCCACACAAAAATATGCACATGGAAATTTGTAACGTTTGTTCTTGATTGTCCAAGCTTGCAATCAAACAAGTCATCCTTCAGTAGATGAATGAATAAACTATCATACATCTAAAAAGAATTGTTGAAATACAATATTACCATATCTAAGAAAGCTGAAATGCATATTACCATATCTAAGAAGCCAAACCATATATATATATATATCCCATATATATTATACATACTACCATATCTAAGAAGCCTACTATATGGCATTTTGGAAAAGGCAAAACTGTAGAAACAGTGAAAAGGTCAGAGGTGGTTGCCAGAGAGAGAGAGTAGAGGGAAAAGAGATATGGGCTCAAAGGACTTTTAGGTTAGTTAAACTATTTTGTAATAACACTATGGTGGTGAATATATTTTTACTACACATTTGTCATAATCCATGGATATACATCAAGAGTGAAACCTAAGGTAAAACAAGGACTTGGGTGATAATGATGAGTTAATGTTGGTTCACTGATAGTCACAGTGATTGGGTGATTGGGATGTTGATAGCAGGGGAGATTGTACATGTGCCAAGCAGGTGGTACACGGGATCTCTGGGTTCTGTCTGCTTCATTTTTCTGTGAACATTAAACTCTAAAAAAGTAAGTATTGAAAAACCTATGCCCATTCTCAAGTCACAAAGGCACTCTTCTCTTCTTCTAAGAGATTTATAATTTTAGATTTAAAAAATATTTATTTATTTGAAAGGCAGTTACAGAGAGGCAGAAGCGGGGAGGGGGGTGTCTTCAATCTGCTGGTTCACTCCCCACATGGCTGCAATGGCTGGAGCTGCGCTGATCTCAAGCCAGAAGCCTAGAGCAGAAGCAGCAGGAGATGGCCCAAGTGCTTAGACCCCTGCACCCATGTGGGAGATCCAGGTGAAGCTCCTGGCTCCTGGATTAGGCCTGACCCAGCCTAAGTCATTTGGAAAGTTGGGAAGTGAACCAGTGGATGAAAGCTCTCTCTTTCTGTAACTCTACCTTTCAAATAAATAAAACATTTTTTTTAAAGGAGATATTCCTTTTCCCAATAAAGAAATTTTTGGCATCTGTTGAAAAATAAATTTAATGTGTATGTATTTTCTTTTTCCGAAGTTCCTGTTCTGTTTAATGGATTTATTTATCATTCAATATTCTCTTGATTATTATAGTTTTAAAGTCAGCTTTGAAATTAGGTAGTGCAGGGGCCTACTCTGTGGCCTGGTGGGTGAAGCTGCCGCCTACAGTGCAGGCATCCCACACAGGCGTCAGTTTGAGTCCCTGCTGCCCTGCTTCCGATCCAGCTCTCTGTGATGGCCTGAGAAAGCAGTAGAAGATGGCCCAAGTCCTTGGGCCCCTGTACCCACATAGGAGACCCAGAATAAACTCTTGGCTCCTATCTTTTGATGGGCCTGGCTCTGGCCATTGCAGCCATTTGGGGAGTAAACCAGGGCATAGAAGACCTCTTTCTCTATGCCTTTGCCTCTCCATAACTCTGCCTTTCAAATACATAAATAAATCTTAAAAAAAAATTAGATAGTGCAAATCCTTCAATTTTGTTTTCTTTTTCTTTTTTAAAAGATTTATTTATGTATTTGAAAGTCAGAGTTACACAGAGAGAAAAGGAGAGGGGAGAGAGAGGGCTTCCATCCGCTGGTTCACTCCCCAATTGGCCGCAGTGGCCAGAGCTGTGCTGATCCAAAACCAGGAGCCAGGAGCTTCTTCTGGGTCTTCCCACATGGCTCCTTGGGCCATCTTCTTCTGTTTTCCCAGGCCATAGCAGAGAGCTGGATCAGAAGTGGAACAGCTGGAACTTGAACCAGTGCCCATCTGGGATGCTGGCACTGCAGGTGGTGGCCTTACCCTCTACGCCACAGAGTCAGCCCCCAGTTTTGTTCTTTTTCAAGATTGTTTGCTTCTGCTAGTAACTTTTAATTTCTGTGCAAGTTTTAGAGTCAATTTGTCTACTTACATAAAAAATTCTTTTGGGATTTTGATAGGGATTGAATTTGTATGTTCAAATTCATCATTCATTCTTGCACCAAATTTGATAATTTATGTTTTTCTAGGTATTTTCATATTAAATTTAGGTTTTCTTTTTTTTTAGATTTAAAAAAAAATTTATTTGACAGGTATTGAATCTTTATTATGAAATTTGTTACCTGCATGTTTTATGTTGGTACTCTTTATTATATTGAGGAAGTTCTATTTCCCCCTAATTTGTTGAGGATTTTATTCTTGAATGTGTTTCAATTTTGTCAAATCTCTTGCTGACTCTATTAAGATGATCATATTGTTTTTTCTTTTATTTTGTGACTCATATTAGTTGATTTTCAAATGTCAAGCCAATCTTGAATTCCTGGGATAATTTATGGTGTATTGTCTCTAATGCTGGGATCAATTTGCTAACATTTTCTTAAGGATTTTTGTTTCTCTATTTAGGAGGGATATTGATCTGCAGTTTCCTTTTGTTGTGATGTCTTTGTCATGAGATCAATTAGGGGAAACTTGGCCAGGCCTGTTGGTTCAGATTTTTCTCTGTGATATTTTATCTTCGGAAATAAGGATTCTCCTTTCTCCCAGTTAGAGGGAGGGCATCTCTCATATGAGGATCTTAGGGTCTGCTTTGTGGGAAGGTCAGAAAATTTTTCCTAGGTTTTATCACCTGCTCCAGAGGAGAAGGACAGGGAGAGGACACAGATACTTCTGCAATGCTATTTCTCAGATTCTTTCAGTCCAAATAGTCGATAAGCCAAGGTTCCATATTTTGGGGTAACATTTTCCTGGACCCCATCACCTGGAATACAATATATTCAATTATGGAACATTTAAAAATACACTGTGGGGTTCAGGTAACATTTTATTTAGGATATTTGCAATTGTGTTTTAAAGTGAAACTGGCCTATTTCCCTTTCTTCTATTGTATTTATCTGATTTTGAGTGAAAGATTACATTAATGCTACAAGATGAAGTGGATATATTTTACTTTTTTCCTATTTTCTGGATCAACTTGTATAAAACAGATTTTATAATACAGTTTGGTAGAATTTATCAAATTCTGGTGCTGAGATTGTTTGGATTCGATTTCTTTTATACTTATTTGTATGTTCAAGCTCATCATTCATTCTTGCACCAAATTTGATAATTTATGTTTCTCTAGGTATTTTCACATTATATTTAGGTTTTCTTTTTTTTGGGATTTTTTAAAAAAAATTTATTTGACAGGTAGAGTTAGACAGTGAGAGAGAGAGACAGAGAGAAAGGTCTTCCTTGGTTCACTCTCCAAATGGCCACATATGAGATGTTGGTGCTGCAGGTGGAGGATTAGCCAAGTGAGCCACCGCGCCGGCCCCTGCATTTAGGTTTTCAACTTTGTTAATATGCAGCTGCTTGTAATCTTCCTTTAACAAAAACCTCTACTAGGTCTTTATGTATTCCATTTCTTTCTGTATTTTATTTCCATTTTCTCTCTTCTTGGTTAGTATTGCCAAAAATCTATTTTATTTATCTCATAATACTAATTCAAGGTTTGTTAATCTTCTTATTGTTTTAACATTTTTTTAATTATCTTTTTTTTCCTCCTTTTTTATTATTTGACACAGACACGGAGAGATCTTCTATGTGCTGGTTCACTCCCCAAATGCCTGCAACAGTTGAAGCTAAATCAGAATGAAGCAAGGAATCTGAACTCAGTCCAGGTCTCACATGTGCATGGCAGGGACTCAGCTCCTTAAGCCATCAGTTGCTGCTTCCCATTGGGCGCATCAGCAGGAAGTAGGAATCAGAAGTGGAGCCAGAACCCGGATCCAGATATATGAGCTGTAGGTGTCCCAAGTGGCATCTTAATTACTGTGCCAAATGTTAACTCCTACCATAAAATTTTGGTGTATAGTTTGGTGTGTAAGTATTTTGTTATTTCTATTTTAGCCAAATGGTAATTTAGCAATATATTAGTTTCTAAAAACATGAGATTTTACTTCTGAAATTGATTTAAAAATTTATTGGATTATGGTCAGAAAGCCAACTCTGTCTTATACTAATTATTTGAATTTATTGTTCTTTTTATGGCCTATTACTGTTCAATTTTAATTGTTAAAATTGTTTATATTCTAAATATACAAGAAGAGAATAGTTACTGTTTATAAATCTAAGTTTCCTTTTTTTTTTTTTTTTTTGACAGGCAGAGTTGGATAGTGAGAGAGAGAGAGACAGAGAGAAAGGTCTTTCTTCCACTGGCTCACCCCTCAAATGGCCGCCACGGCCGGTGTGCTGCACTGATCCGAAGCCAGGAGCTAGGTGCTTCCTTCTGGTCTCCCATGTGGGTGCAGGGCCCAAGGACCTGGGTCATCCTCCACTGCCTTCCCAGGCCACAGCAGAGATCTGGACAGGAAGAGGAGCGACCAGGACAGAACCTTTGCTCCAACCGGCACTAGAACCCGGGAGTGCCGGCACCGCAGGTGGAGGATTAGCCAAGTGAGCCATGGCGCCGGCCCATTTCCTTCATTTTTTTTCAAAGATGATTTTGAGGTAGGGAAGCAGTAGCCCATTCAAATACAATATCTTTTTGTTAACTTTTATTTAATAAATATAAATTTCCAAAGAACAATTTATGGATTACAATGGCTTTTCCCCCCATAACTTCCCTCCCACCCGCACCCCTCCCATCTCCCGCTCCCTTTCCCATTCCATTCACATCAAGATTCATTTTCAATTCTCTTTATATACAGAAAATTAATTTAGTATAAATTAAGTAAAGATTTCAACAGTTTGCACCCACACCAAAACACAAAGTGTAAAATACTGTTTGAGTACTAGTTATAGCATTAATTCACATTGTACAACACATTAAGGACAGAGATCCTACATGAGGAGTTAAGTGTACAGTGACTCCTGTTGTTGAATTAGCAAATTGACACTCTTGTTTATGTTGTCAGTAATCTCCCTAGGCTCTTGTCATGAGTTGCCAAGGCTATGGAAGCATTTTGAGTTCGCCGACTCCGATCTTATTTAAACGAGGTCATAGTCAAAGTGGAACAAAGTGGAAGTTTTCTCCTCCCTTCAGAGAAAGGTACCTCCTTCTTTGATTGCCCATTCTTTCCACTGGGATCTCACTGGCAGAGATCTTTCATTTAGTTTTTTTTTTTTTTTTTTTGCCAACGTGTCTTGGCTTTGCATGCCTAAAATAGTCTCAAGGGCTCTTCAGCCAGAGCCCAGTGCCTTAAGGGCTAATTCTGAGGCCAGAGTGCTGTTTAGGACATCTGCCATTCTATAAGTCTGCTGTGCAAATACAATATCTTGAAACAGGTTCATTAAATTTCCTATTAAATTAGTAAAATGAGATTTTAGACAAGTACAGTGAAATATTCTGTGAAGTCAATATGTATTATGTATATTTAGAGATTTTGGCATTTCATTGAAATAGTAGACTTTGTTTTTTCAATTTTCCTAAGGAGATTGGTCTTCAGAAAGCTTGAAACTAAACAGCTTGTGCAGCTGGCGCTGTGGTGCAGTGGGTTAAACCACAGCCTTCAGTGCCAGCATCCCATATGGGTGCTGGTTCCGTCTTGGCTGCTCCACTTCCAACTCAGCTCCCTGCTAATGCACCTGGTTAAGAGCAGAAGATGGCCCATAAGCTTGGGCCCCTGTACCCACATGGGAGACCCAGAAAAAGCTCTGGGCTTGGGCCTTGGCCTGGCCTAGCCCCAGTTGTTGCAGCTATTTGGGAACAGATAGAAGATCTCTGTCTGTTTTTTCTTCTCTCTCTCTAAATCTGTCTTTCAAAAAAAAAAAAAAAAAAAAAAAGCTTCCTGAGACAACCCAGAAATAAGTCCAAGCGTTAGTTTGTTGGTACTACCTTTTGGGAAGGACTTTATGTCTTTATCTCTGCACTCTGCTTCTCACGTCCCTTGATCAGCCAAGCACATAGAAACCGGGCTGCTCTTATTTTAGCCTGAAGAACTTGTGCAAGTAACAGAAGTAGCAAGCATTTGCTTCTAGGAAGTAGCAGCAGTTCTATGAACTGGGAGACCCTTTGTTCAGCAGAACCTGAGATGAACCTGGGTATGCACATTTGGTAGAGACTAGAGTTCCCTTGAATTGTCTCCACAATTGTGAAAGAAGGCACCAACCTCAGAAGGAAATGTCCCCAGAGGTATTTGGGTGGGCAAGGGACTTTGGGAACATTGAAAAATCATATGGCACATTAAAAAATTATTTTTATTGATGTTAATTTTCATTAATAATTCATAACTTTATGCATTTGTGGGGTACAATATGATATTTTATTATTTTTATTTTTTTTATTTGACAGAGTTTACAGACAGTGAGAGAGAGAGAGACAGAGAGAAAGGTCTTCCTTCCGTTGGTTCACTCTCCAAATGGCTGCAACGGCCGGAGCTGAGCCGATCTGAAGCCAGGAGCCAGGAGCTCCTTTTGGGTCTCCCATGTGGGTAGAGGGGCCCAAGGACTTGGGCCATCCTCTACTGCTTTCCCAGGCCATAGCAGAGAGCTGGATCAGAAGTGGAGCAGCCAGGACTTGAACGGTGTCCATGTGAGATGCTGGCACTGCAGGTGACAGCTTTACCCATTATGCCACAGCGCCGTCCCCTCTTAGTTATTTTGAAGTATATGTTATTGTTGACTATCATCACCTTGTTGTGTCGGAAACTTTATGCCCTTTGACCAACATCTCCCCGTTTTCTCTATCTTCCTCCCCAATCCCAGTAGCAGTTATTCTACTCTCTTTCTTTGTTAAGATTTGTTAATTTGAAAGGCAGAGTTACGGAGGGAGGGAGATATACAAACAGAGAGAGACAGAGAGAAAAGAGAAAGATCTTCCATCTACTCGTTCATTCCCCAAATGGCTACAACAGTGGGGCTGGGCCAGGCTGATGCCAGCAGCTTAAAACTCCATCTAGGTCTTGGACGTAAGTAGCAGGGACCCAAGGACTCGGACCATCGTCTGCTGCTTTCTCAGGTGCACCAGTTGGGAGCTGGATGGGAAGTGGAACAACCAGGACATCAACCAGCACCCATGTAGGATGCTGGCATCAAACTTGCTGCACTACAATGCTGCCCTATCATTCTCCTCTTTGGTTCAGTGAATTCTGCTTTTTTAGATTACACAAGTGAGATAAGGTGATATTTTTCTTTCTGTGCCTGGCTTATTTCATTTAACATAATGTCCTCTAGGTTCATGTATATTGTTACAAATAAACGATTTTTTTCTTTTAAGGCTGAATAGAATTCCATTGTGCATACTTATTTTTTTTTAAAGTTTTTATTTATTTATTTGAGAGGTAGAGTTACAGACAGTGAGAGGCAGAGACCGAGAGAAAGATCTTCCTTCCGTTGGTTCACTCTCCAAATGGCCGCAATGGCCGGAGCTGTGCCGATCCAAAGCCAGGAGCCAGGTGCTTTTTCCTGATCTCCCACGCAGGTGCAGTGGCCCAAGCACCTGGGCCATCCTCCACTGCCTTCCCGGGCCACAGCAGAGAGCTGGACTGGAAGAGCAGCAACCAGGACAAGAACCCGGCGCCCATATGGGATGTCGGTGCTGCAGGCAGAGGATTAGCCAAGTGAGCCATGGCGCTGGCCCCACATTTTTTAAATTGCTAAATGGAGTATTTTTAAGTTGAGTTCTTTAGGGTATATGATGCAAACTCCTTTTCAGTTCCCCTGTGAAATCCTAAGTAAACTTTGTGTTAAAGAAGGCACAAGAGCCAGAGGAGACCGATGACATTTACTTCACCATCTACACTGTTCCCAATCACTGAGTCCTTCTGAGTCTTGCAGGCATTCTTTGGCAAGGGTGTGTTCAGGTTTTAGATCCTGCCTTCTTTAAGTTCAAGGCAATCTCTGTTTGGGATTATTTGCTGTCAAATGCCTCTTGCCCCTTCCTGTCTGTGCCAGTTCTCCTAAGGGGTCACTATTAAAAGCAAAAAAAACAGGGGACTGGCATTGTGGTATAGTGGGTAAAGCCGCCGCCTGCGATGCCAGCATTCCATGTGGGCGCCAGTTCAAGTCCAGGCTGCTCCACTTCTGATCGGCTCTCTGCACGGGAAAGCAGTGGAAGATGCTCAGGTCCTTAGGCCCCTGCACCCGTGTGGGAGACCTGGAGGAAGCTCCTGGTTTCTGGCTTCAGATTGGCACAGCTCCAGATGTTGTGGCCAACTGGGGAGTGAACCAGCGGAAGGAAGACCTCCTTCTGCCTCTCTTCTCTCTGTGTAGCTCTGACTTTCAAACAAATAGGTAAATCTTTTTTTAAAAAAGCAAAAGAATACTTATCAGGAAGGATTTCACTGTTCTGGGAAACCTCATTATATGAATTCAATCTGTGCTTTTGGAAAGTTACTGAATTACCTCAAGTGATATAAAAGTCAATTTCTAGAAGTGGGTATTTCGCCTAGCGGTTAAGATGTCCATGAGCCACATTGGAGTACTTGGATTTGATTCCCAACTCCAGCTCCTGACTTCAGCTGCCTGTCACTGCAGACCCTGGAAGGCCACAGGTGGTGGCTCAAGTGACTGGGTTCCTGCTACCAACATGGGATACCTGGGTTGGGTTTCCCAGCTTTGGCTCTAGCCCAACCTGGGTGTTGCAGGCATTTGGTGAATGAGCCACTGGATGGGAATCCTCTCTGTCCCTCTGCATCACAAATAAATAACAAATTTTTAAAAAGTTTATGAAAATGGGTTGAAAAAAGTTTATTTTGAAAAAAAATCAGAGTTTAAATGAAACTCATGTTTACTGCCCATTATCCCTCTCTCCCGTCCCTGGTGTGTTCCTGTTTGATTAGACTCCATCAGAGGCACTGAATCGGGACACCACCAGAGTGGTCTTAGCTGTTTCTGAACGCTTGAAGTTGATTGACTGCACTGGAAAAGCCATGGTTTTCTGTGACCCAAAAAAGGCACTTTGAGTCCCTGAGCTCTTGAATCAACTAATTATCAGCGAAAGATGCAAGGAAGGAAACCTAGTTCACCGGTTCATTAATTCCCACCCCCAGATCTGTAAGGCATATGGGAAAGGCTTGGACCAAAGGTCGGGGCTCTAGGCAGGCTTCCTGTCACTTCTGAGCTGTAGCCGCAATCACAATGGGGACTGAGACTGCTCAGTGGCACCTGGCAGAGCTCCACAGCTGCCCCCTCCTTCTCTCTGTCCTTAAAACTTGGTTCAGTGTTTCTTTGTGACATACATCACTTCCCCTACCAGCTGTGAGGGCAGGAGGAAAAGCAATTAAGGGCCTTATTAATCACCCAGTTCCTACTGAGAAGGGTCAAACTGCAGCAGGAGTTGACAAAGCAACAATAATTCTATCAGCAACGGAGTTACAAAGGTAGATGGTGCAACATCTTAGAGCTATATTGGGGCTTATTCTTTCTTAGCTCTACATATCCTGATGGAAATTGAACATCCCAGAGGTGATTAAAAACTAGCCTTCCTTTGAGTTTTGGAATTGTTTGAGCTGTAACCATATTTGAGTTTGACCAAGCTATGAGTCTCTTTTGGGAGGTTGCAGTTAAAAAAAAATTAAAAGAATTGTGAACTGTACTGTGCTTTTACAGAAGAGAAGAGAAAGTATTTCATTGCCTTTTATTATTGCTACAATTTTTTGAATTTCATTGAAATCCATGGAGAACCAGGAAAAATTTTTGCAAAATTATGCATTACATTAAAGCTATCCATTTAAATTGTTCATTGAGTAGGATTGATATTACTCAAAAATTTGAAGTGGGCAGTAGCTCTTCTGATGACTACAACTCATCATTCCAAACTGACACTCACACAGGGGCTGGCTGATTGCAGCCCTCAAGTGAGCTGACTCCAAATGTACTGTACTTTTCTCTTTTTGGTTCTTCTCATACTAATTGGCTCACTCTGGCAAGAAGTATTTATTGATCATCTACTATGGGCCAGGGATGCAGCAGAGAATGAAGTAGACACGTTCTTTACCCCTGTGCAGTGTATGACCCGATAGGGAAGGTGTGATAGGTCCCTGCTGGCTGCTCTCAGGCACGCTCTGTGAAGCTGCCCCACTGAGCAGAGAAGGGCTTTATTATTACTAC